TTAAATGTAAATTATGCAAATGAGGACTTTATTTGCATAATTAATGAGGAAATTCTATAATTACAGTGTTTTACATTATACTACTTTCATACATGTAATGTATGTAACCTATGGCAGGCAGAACATCAACAGATACTAATCATGCAAATGATGACCTTATTTGCATAATTTATGCAAAAATTCTATGATTTCTTAATGGTGAATGATGGGAATGTCATACTTGGGACATCTGTAAGTTAATCAAAAGTTCACATACATCACGATGCATATATCATGTTAATGCGGAGGTAATTTGCATAATTAAAGAGGAAATTTACATTTACATATCAAGCCCATATTTCATGGAGGTATGAAATCTCGGAATTCTTGTTAGTTGTAAGATTTTAAGACATCCCATGCAGTTTCAAGGCACCAAAATGAAAAATATTTTCGATGAGGAAATATGTTTGATATTTGCTGCCATTTATTATCACATATTTGTCATCATTTTATACCTTTGAAATAGCCCCAACACAACCATCATGAGGCGTCTCTTCATTTTGGGTACCACCCATAAACAGCTAGAACCAGCCTACAATACAAAACAATGACAACCGTTTTCTTCAGCAACATCTTTTTTTCCCTCGGAGATATCAGTATGCTATGGGGTATAACTTGATACATCGAAATTGACTAGTAAACAATAAAGTAATTACTAGTATCAAATAAAGTATAATAATTGATAGCATATAACTTAATTATATGGTAATGATAAATAATAATTGTAATCTCAACCCACAATACTATAGCGCTCATAATGGGCGTCAATGAATAAGAAACACAAAAAGTAGGATATAGTCAAATGCCGAAGACAAATAGTCCGCATTACTGTACTTCGCTTCAACCCCAGAAGTCCAGTTGACTAAGTAATAAACTTGAACCCAACTCCACAGTGTCACCCACTCCTGCGTTTCCCATCAGTCATTGCGGTCTCGTGATGCCTTGTACAAATCCTCGCCGTATTAATGGCCACAGGCGTGCCTACGGATGGTCATAACGTCCAACATGTCATGTTTTTGAAAGGGGTTTTGACAAGTGTTTTTACGATACGTAATCCCTTACTCCTACTTATAGAAACATCCGGTGGTGGGCTATCCTTCAATGTCATGCGCCGGTGGTTTTATGCGGCTACATATCTCTCGCCCACAACGGAAACTTACATGCAGCTTAGATATCTATAGCACGGGTGAGACACAATGTACGCTGAAGTTGGTAGGAAGATCAATTTACACGATAGTGCGAGGAACGTGTAAGAAGTTTGAATCACGTGAGTGCGACGCAGCTACTGTGCGCCATGCTGAGTGATTAAAGGCCGGGGGGGGAGGGGGTAATGTTATGTCAAGTGTGTTAAGGTAATGACATAAGGCGTTATGAATATAGGTCTAATCTTCTAGTTAAGTCCATGTCACATTTCAAAACCTACCCGTGACCACCAGCCGACCATGGTTGGCTGTAGATAGGAAGCAGTCCGGCCAGATTTAGACCATGCTTATCTTTCGTGCAGACCATTCCCTCCCCATTTGAGACCCATGTCCCAACCAGTACATAACATACTAGTCCCAGCCGTCCCTTAGCCAATCCCTAGTATGGCGGTTATGACGTTACGTGCAACCATCCTACCTTTAGATATGCATTATATCTAGCTGCGGCAATAGAACTGTAAACTTCAGCACAAGTTACTTTAATATGACTTTCATCGAGCCTTTGAAACGATCCCCGTCTAAACCCGCCCTCCGCGGGAAACATAAGCAATGGAAATCCCTTTCCCATATAACCTCCATCAGCTAATATTACAAACTCTAGGCTATAGAACTACACTTAAGATTACAACGTTATAATGTACGGTGTGGCCTTTTCTGCATGCCCTCGGCAGCAAACTATTACAGGTGACTTACTAGACAGAGATTATTGCTGAAACCTTGCAGTGCAGATAAGCTGTTTAATGCCAATTTCCCTACAAGTGGCTGAGATCTTCCATTGACAATGTTGATACTTTTAGTATCAATCAATGATTCGCAGGTACATAACGCTCTCGGTGAGGGTGGGGTCGTGCATTCCTTAAAGGCAACCAAAGCGATATTTTAGAGGCGGTCAAACTCGAATTTAAAAGTCAATTTCTTCATTAAATGTCAATAGCAAATTTTTGTTTGCTGCCCTGATTATTGCCTTTTATGCAGTCACCTGAGAAAATGGCGTGCAATTCAGCACAATGTAGCAATAAACGTTTTTAATGAAGTTTGCACATGCTTCTTCCCACAGTTCGGCCCGGCAACAGTGGAAAAATGCACCACGCCTTGCATATAAGGAGAAATAACGTTAACAAAAGATACGTCACCACAACATGGCCTTTGTTGTCAAATTGACATGTCATGTCTGACTCTTGAACCACATCAACTGAAAGTAGCCTAGTGAAAGACATAATTATTACTCTACAGCTAGGTTACCAAAGATAGCTTTATACAGCTATGTTTCAAAGAGCTCATTCTAAGCAGTTCGATCGTTGAAGCCTACTTCTAGTTTCTTGCTGTCACGCAGAAGCTGGACTTCCTGTCGCCGTGGGGTCCCTAAGTGGCGAGCTGTATGCCATTCGGCACTCACAACGCTCCCTCGACCTTTCATCTCATCAACTGGACAAGAGCATACTAGGAAGATTACAGGAAGAAGAGGGCTCTAGGACATGAATAGCAGCGTGTAGGCGTGAGTGAAAGGAGATGAAATGAGCGCACGAAGTTGTTTCGTGCGAGTGGAACCGGATGTTAGAAATGGTATGTCCCGATTCGCGCGCCGTAATGTCACACTTGAGTCATCCGCTCTCCGTTCCAGGTCTGACATTTAAAGGTTAGCGGAGGAGGTAATATCTGCCGCCGCATCAGTCATCCGCGGTAATGGGACGCTCTCTGTGTTTTGGGGTATTGAAATAGTAAATGTAGCGTGTCAAGAACAATATGTGAAGTGTAAAGTTGAGGCGCTAATTTGATTAATAAAGCATTCAGAATGTCATTACGCGCAATCTAAAGGCAGGGTGTGTGCTGATGACGTCACAGACAATATTCTAGGTTATTGAACCTACAAAGGAAAGAGATCCCGATCCAGTTTTAGCTCATTGAAGTTTTAGCTAATCTCCACTGGTAGTGACAGAGGAGACAGACGCTATGTACAGTATTCAAAGCTAAAGTTTCAGTGTACAGGAAAAATTCAGAAAGCTCTTTTCGTCAAGCACAGTGAACAGTGGGCCACGGCTTAACGTCCTGTCCTAAGGCTTAGCGACCCTTCATAGTAGCGTGCATGTCGAGTAAACGACAGCAGGCGGGGTTCGAGCTCCCAACCTCCTGGTACAGACGCTGGATCGCTAACCACTGGACTACGCAGAGTCAGACGTATACATTTCTATGTGTCGTATACATTTCTATGTGTAAACTGTATTTTCACCTAGGTAATAGGCTTATGTTTTAATCACGTATGATTTAGCTAACATCTAGCATTCAGGATCATAGCAAACAAGACATCGTGTAGTCACCTCAGTACAAATATCATATTGAATACTTTCATGGAAGGAGGCTCTTTTCTAGCCTGCTTCGCGATAGCGAAGAGTAATCACCATGAAATTTGCGTCCTTTCTGAAATATTATAATCATAAATCTGTGTGTATCTCTTAATTGTAATTATATCCCCACACCTAATGGGGATTGCAAGACAAACGACTCATGTACACAGTGTATATAAAATGTACTGCACAGCATCAGCATAATGATTACGTATTAGAAGTACCTATTCATTAGCATCATAACATACGTAATAATTTACCTATGGGAGCCTAAGAATAACGCTCATTGTTAAATGAGCGATGACCTATTGATACTGCAAATGCATGCATCTAATTAAGTTAGTCTGAAAGCCTTTTTAGGTATCTACAACACATACGCATTCGTCTATCTGTATTGAGATACCTTCGGGAAATGGATGGCTTAATAGTTTTACCTGCAAAGCCCCTTATTATATTCCACCTTCTCACTGTATGAAGTGTAAATCCTGAATTATATTCAGGACGGGGCTTCTTATTTCAATAATCGTGAAGGCATCATGCTAAACCCCAGTCACGATTCTATCGCAGCATAAAACATTTCATACAACATTCCGAAAATCCCCTGCATTAAGTCGTGCTGTGTTGGTAACTCGTATCAAGAGTAGTAAATACATTAACGTCCTGGTAATAACGCCATAATTTTAGCATGATCATAAATGTAACAAACCTGTTACTGAGGAAGAAGTGGCAAGATCTTTTGCAAGAATTCTTCACTTGCTCTTTATCTTTTTCCTCGGTAGAGCCCTTCGAATGCCATTGGATGCAACTGTCATGCAATGCGGCATCAAAACCTAATATTCTCGGTTTTTATCGTGACAGTTTGATCATCATGTATCTCTTTTGTCTGTAGCTGTCCTCCTACGGAATCCTGTCAGTAAAAACATTGTCCCCTCGCATGCTTACCGAGCAGGCAGCAATATTGGCAGCCTTCCAAACTCACACTTTCGTAGCTACATTTTTTCTAGGCTTATATTCCCAGGGCTGATTTTGAAAATAGTTAGCAAGTTGCAAGATCAGAATGCAGTTTTGTCTTATAGTGCATTCATGACATTTACTATTGCTGTGGGATGTACAGACCTTGGCATACGGACACAAGCTTAGATTTCTACCCAGTCTGTACATTAGAGAATCTACCAGTGTATATCACAACTATCACAAAAAGCATACATATCACAACTATGAGCTGCCCAAAACTGTCTTTTGGCGGAATGGATATTTGTATAAACAAAAGGAATGGAATATCAGTTCTCATACTAGCAAGCGACACTCTATCTTCTACATTGGGTTTTAGAATGCATTCAAAGTAGGTGGAGGATCTGGCTGAAGTGATTTTAAATGCATGAACAATTATAGATAGACAGTTTGATGTAGCTCCTACCTTATCGGCATACCAGCAATATTGTCCCACTTTCGTTTGCGCTGCTGGCCAGTCTTAAAGTTGTCCAGTGATACGCATCAGTCGCTGACAAAAGCCTCCTGTAATATGACAAAAAAGCCTTCGTTCAATGTCGTCTTCCGAGGAGACATCCAAACATAAACCAGCCCCCGCCGGCCCAGCGTGAGCTCCTAGTAAACTGAGCCCAAAATACGTTAAGGGGAATACGGGCACTTTTATTTCGGGCACCACCAACTGCTTTCGCATGAATATTTGATGAAGTCCGTTATATAGGGACGATTTGATTAAATATTCACGGACTATAATCATAATCGACAGCACGTCAACTTACACATGGTCAACTGCACACCATTTTGTACATCATAAAAAGAATTGTCTCTATTTTTCTTTCAATTTTACAGGAATAAACTTGCATTTTTAATGAAAATAAGTGTCAATAAGTAGATCTGGTATAGTTAGTCTATTAGAATTGTATCAGTTTTCTCTAGCTGTGTACTTAGAATGACCAATGCTGCTTCTTTATTCATGAGCCCTGGATTTGTAAAATAAATCCTTATAGGGGGTTTGGGACTAACGTCCCGTCGGGAGGGTGGGGTGGAGATTGAAAACCTTCCAAGCCACCCAGTGCCACCAGTAGAGTTCTTAAAAGGGAACACAGTACATACGGAGAAATACGTTTAAGAATAAATTTATATCAATATCCATCTATCTATCTATCTCTTTCTCTGTGTGTGTTGCATATAGATAGATAGTTTGATCTATTTTTAAGAAGATATTTGCTTTAAAGACATTCAGGACAGTAGTTCATGTTGATTAATGTTATTCATGTTATAACGTTACGTCCATGAATCGACATGAAATTCAGGACTTGGGACATGGGAAACAACACTATATACAGCTAGCACAATAAACATCATCTTGATAGGAGTCTCTGTCGACAAAAACTTCAATCGGATCTCCATTGGTAGAATTGCTTATTCTACCAGATCGGAGTTTCTACGCTGACGGCTTATCCCCCCGCAGAAAATAACGTACCCTAAACCGGTAATCTCGAACATCAGGCCACGTGATCCGACCAACGTATCCGACTGATCTCACATTTACGGGACCCTGATATGGACAAGGCCGCTCTATCCGCAATTTCCTTCAACCAAAGCGTACATAAGGCGATTCCGTTGACAGGAACTTACATCAAGCGCCAAGTAACCTTCACGGGAACTGTCCAACGGGAACTGAAGCAAAAAGCGTTTCTTCATTCAGGAATGACCATATATGCTCACATTTCAGATCACCACATCTCCTACTTATTAGCATATGCAAATTATCTTTCTCCGACCCAATCCCTGCATATATCATATCTACTTGAATTATCATAAATAGCGACAGTTGGATAATTTCAAAACTAGCGTTGAAATTCAGAAGATATTTCAATTATCTGACGAGAAAATTGGGTTGGACGTCAGGAATAAATGGTATGATTTGGTTAGAGTAAGTCACGGGTAGAGTAATTAGGTACGTGTTAATGTCATCTTGGTATACGCGAAATCCCCATTATCCTACCATTAGGCAACTGAAACGTTATCAGGGTTCAGCATACTTTGCAAGCTTTCTTCCTTACAACCTTATCATGATACATGCTGCACAGTAGGACGGCCAGCTTAACGGATTCTGAGAACACCAGACGGCCTGATCCTTTTATCGATTCTAACGTTGTTACCTAACTTGATTCTTTTAATCTTATTTCAAACATGTTTCTGCATTTTGCACAAGGGTTCTCACAAGATGCGGGTGGTCACGGGTTTTTTTTTTATAAAGACATCTAATGCAATATCAGGGAGGCAAAACAAAAAACATTCTGGAGGAGAATTCTAGAAAGTCTGTCTAACATTGACATTGACTACCCTTTCTTAGCACATTTTGGTCATCATTTCATATTCATAGCGTTTGAAATATCCCAAAGACAAACTTCGTGAGCGTCTCTTTATTCTATTGGGGTATACCACCCATAGCTAAAGCCTACTACACAAAATAAGCAAACATTTTTCGTCACCGACATCGCATTTTAGCCTCACAGATATCAGTAAGATATACTACAACTACACTCAAAGAATGAATAGAAATTGACTTTGAAAATCCACTTTTGCCGCCCTGGAATTGCATTGGATGCCATTTAGATGCCCTGAGATGAGTATTATTCTATCATACAGTAGCGCAATGATAATGGCATCAACCATGCAAGAGAATACAGGATGACAGAATTTCCAATATGCACTAAGTTGCTTATGACGTTTATGACAGGGGGGCAAGGCTTTTCACAAACATGATTGGGATGGCAACTGACAGCTTTAAAGAATCGAAATATATTTTTGATATATGAAAAAAATACAACCGACAATTTTTTCCACCTCACATTATACAGATCCCGTTTTTAATTGGGGTATAACAAGAGAAACAAGAGTTTTAATTCTTTTCTTTTTTAAACTTTTTCAACAAGAACGGTACAGGGACTTAGAGGAAAGGCAACAGAAAAAGGATCCTGATGAATGATCAGATACTAGAGATGTGGAAACAGGGAGGTGAGCAAAGTTCTGTAATTGCACGGGTTAGGAACGTGGCGCGTCTCCCGTGTGGCAATCTCTTCCAAATAACCGACTGAGCTAACCACCTGCAAATATCACTATCCCTGGAAAATAGCCGCAATACATCACGTCAGAATAGCTTATTTGCAGCCTGCTATGACAGAATGGGCAATGAGACTGGCTAGTATCATCATGACGAATGTCCTTCTATAAGACGGCTCCGTGAAACTGCAGAGAAATATCCGGTTTTCCGTCAAAACAACGGTCTTATGCAACCATATCGGAAGGCCATATCATTTTTTGCAACTTATGATTCACTACTCACTACTCAGTCAAGTATTCAACCTGAATAAAGTAAAGCAAATGCTTGCTCATTTATTGTTTGCTTTTTGTTTGTTTACTTGCATATAGTCAAAGTAATAAAAAACATAAGCATATAAAAAAAAGAAATACTGGGGAAAGGAAAAGGCATTATGGCCTGTACGGGACCTTCCCCTTACAACATTAATTTTTTAAAGATTGATAATGATAGAAGTAAATCACATGGTAATAATGATAGATTACAATAAATAATTGGTGAATAAATGCTAGATGAAAATGGGGGTCGTAACACCTTAGATAAGTTAACAAAGGTTTTTGACAATTGATGATTATAGTAGTAAATAAAGAAAATCACAATACTAGTAATAATAGATAGCAACAGGTAGTATTTTTAAATAAACGCTAAATAAAATTGACGTAAAACATAAGCAAATGAATAAGAGTTGAATGAGTTTTAAATGTAGTATTGGATGTTATATTTAGATTTAAATAAGTATAGTAGTATTTTTAAATAAACGCTTAATAAAATTGACGTAAAACATAAGCAAATGAATAAGAGTTGAATGAGTTTTAAATGTAGTATTGGATGTTATATTTAGATTTAATATATTTAAAATATCGAAGAAAATTTAAAATCTTAGATAAAAATTAAAACATTAAAACAGTAGTTGAGTCCAAAGTTTGGATAACTTTCATTTCTAATTTTGTTAAAAGGTATGAATAATACTTCAATGTGAATTTTACATATACACAAATAAATGGTCTCTATTGTTTAAGAGTCACTTGCTTATAATACAGGAATTTACTTTCAAACCAATGGTTCAAAGTCATAATGCATAATAGCACCATAAAGGTAGGACGTACCATAATTATACAACACTAAACAAATCCTACAAATACCCACTTTCGTTCTCGTAATTGCACTGCGCTTTAGAATAACCTTATTTTTGTGCGAATGCGTGAAGCGATAAAAGTGTTTTCCAGTAATGCTGACGAGACGGAACGTCTCTATTCCATACCCCCATGCCTCCCGGCGCTGAACCGAATGCGCGCAGCGAAACGCATCGCATTGACGTAAAACACCAAAGGTGTCGTAACACGTTACGATGTCGTAAAACCAATTCTCGTGATACACGGTGCTCGCCTGTGGAAACACCATCAATCACCAGCCGACAATGTATGCATGTAAACCTCAATTAGAAATAGGATTTCAACGTGGTGCGCCGCAGAATTTTGATTAGATTACATGCCTTGCAGATTTTGATGGCGAAGTGTTAAAACGTTCATATATTTGAATAAACCGGCATATTTCATAAGCTTGGCGGTAATGCATTTTTTGTGGCGTGCACGGTTAGTTTTCTTACATTACGAGCTCGTATGATTGCGGTGTTATTA